TTTTGGCCCAATTCGTCCAAATTTTGTCGTGCAATTAATATTAGAACTATTGACGCTACACCCTAACATCGTGACTAAGTTTTCGAATTTTTATTGGTGGTGAATCGTTCGTTGCAATAAAATAACATTATAGAATTTTTTTGTTTACCCCGATTTTTTTTTATAATTAACTGTCTCTCGTTGCAATGGGAAAAAAAATAAAAAATTATATATGGGAACTAAGAATATTTAGGGGGTTTTTTTTTTCAAAAGAAACTGTATTGTGTTTTTAAAAAGACTTTTATTACATTTAATTGAAAATACAAGACAATGGTGAATTTTTTATTTTCTGTATTTATGAATGTATTTAAAATTGTTGTTGATGGGGAAAATCCACATTCAATTTTAACATAGATACAGAACTACAAACCTGAAAAAGGAACAAAACCAGTATTGCTTGTTTGAATACTCTCTGGAATGGTGGCATAGCTAATAATAATGGGGTTCTAAAACGTTTGGAGCACCTGTTTCAATTAAAAAAATAGTTGCAACCTACATCCAATTGCATTTGTGAAAAAGTAGATCTTTGCAGAAGGTTGGTAAGATAATTCTTGAAAAGGCTCAATAATCAAAAGACGGAAAAACCTAGAATAACATTACGTGTGAAAATGGTCTAGCAGCTTTAGATTTTGATGCAAAGATTAGCGGGGAAGATCAATCAGTACTGAGAATCCTATTTCATACATGATGATTGATTATTCCACATTTAGAGGAAACCAATGCAAAGTGGTTAAGCAATCAATTTATAATATAAATTTTGGAATTTGATGATCAATCCTGAAGAAAAAGTTTATTGTGAGCGGTGGGAAAAATTCAACATTAATTTCTGAGTCCTGTGTACATGTTTACTTTCAGTTATTGGAAACAAATCAATAAAGTTAAAAGACTACTAAATGGAGCACTGTATTCAAATGGATTGATGGATATAGATGTAGAGACTCCTAATTATGACTCGGTTCAAATGCGGTCCCGTTTACTTCGTCGAAAATTATTTCGTCGACAATCATTTCGTCGACAATCATTTCGTCGACACTCATTTCGTCGACAATCACTT